ACTTTCGTCCTACAAATGTGCGAGGGATTCACGATGGGAGGGCGCTCCTTTTCAAAATGTGGCTCTCGCCTCAGCGCCGCGCGCACTGGTTTTAGACATTCGCGACAACTTCACTAATTTCCACAGCTGACTTCCCAGGAGCGGCGTTCTGGCAAGATTTAGGATTGCCAGGGCGCAACAATGACGACGATTCGTGGTGCAAGTCCCAGGAATGGCGTTCCGGCCAGATTCGACATGTCTAGAGGCAGCAGTATAGCTGATTCGCGGCGCTGATATCCCAGATAGGATTTTCTAGGGAAGATTGAAGACTCTCAAACGGTTGTCGTCCAACGGGGCACTTCCCGCAGTGAAAATCCGGCGGCCCCCTTGCGGGGCCACCAGGCTGTAGGCCGAAGGTTCGCAGTTTCCTGTACCAGTTGCAGCTTCCAGTTTCCACTGTTACAGTTCTGCTTCTTGCTGCTTACTGTTCCTTGTTGATGGACCGCGCGAGGGGGGGGAGGCCCAAACGGGCAGGTTTAGCACGCCCTGAGCGTGTGCTCTGAATTGCTGGGGTGGGTAAAAATGTACACCCCTCACGCAGATCGTCGGGGTCAGGGTCCAAAAACACAAAGGATTCGCCACATTTCTGAATTTCGGTACCACCCCTCACGCAGATCGGCGGCGTCAGGGTCCAAAAACACATGGGATGTGCCACATTCCTGAAATGTGCTGGCACCCCTCGCGCAGATCGGCGGGGTCAGGGTCCAAAAACACATGGAATTTGCAACATTTCTGACATTCGGTGCCACCCCTCACGCAGATCGACGGGGTCAGGGTCCAAAAACCAATGGGATTTGCTACATTTCTGGAATTCGCTGGCACCTCTCACGCAGATCGGCGGGGTCAGGGTCCAAAAACACAAGGGATTTGCCACACTTCTGAAATGCAGTGGCACCCCTCACGCAGACTGGCGGGGTCAGGGTTCCAAAAACACAAAAGGATTTACTACATTTCTAAAATTCGCAGGGTCAGGGTCCGAAAACCCAAGGGATTCTCAACATTTCTGAAATTCGGTGGCACCCCTCACGCGGATCCGTAGGGGCATGGTCCAAAAACACTAGGGACTTGCCACATGTCTTTAAATTCGGTGGCACCCCTCACGCATATCGGCAGGGTCACGACGTCTTACCAATCGCCAGGTGTGGTAACTCCTCTGGTCATCTATTGGGTTTGCTCATTACGAGTCGGCCTCGCACGAAGTTCCGATGCTGCTTCACGACAGCGCCCAGGGCCTCATGACATAGCTCTTGCATTGCGCATTCTCCGAGAGAGGGGGCCAGCGACAGGGGGCGACGCCCTTACGGATAAATTCTCGCAGGGACATGCGACTTGGGAACTTGAAGGGAGGGCTCATGGCAACATCGTTGATGCATCCAGCGAGATCCCCGTTCTGAACAAGGACCGCCCCCACCTGCCGAGCCGTTGCGCAAAATACGAATGTCTGGCCATGAGCTGTCAAAAGAGAGAGCCCCTTCACGAAAAGTGTAAGCCATTGCGGAGCGTCGCACGGCGGACGGAATTCGCCGGCCCAGCGGGCCAGAGGCGTGCTAAGATCTCCGGCAACTGGTTAACAATATTTCTAGTTCGCGCGGGCGGAGCGGGAGAGAGAAGGGAGGAGAGGAGCAGGGTGCAGGCAACCAAGAGCACGCCAGCAGGACTGACATACCTCAGCACTCAGGAGAACATGTAGTGGCGAACGCCGAAGACGAGCGCCGTGTGGCGGACGGAGGGGAGGGGCGGCGGGCCTGCACGCTACGCGGCGGGCCCCCCTGCCAACCCCCCACTGCCACCTCCGTCCGCCCCGGGGACTCCGCCAGGAGGACCGCGACGCGGAACAGCAGGCCCTCCAGGAAGAGGAGGCCCCGAAACGGCGGGCACTCCGAGAAGGAGGGCACCCAGCTCGTGGGGGGCCACGCCGAGCTGAGCCGCCATGGCCTGAGCCAATGCTCGGCCGCGCGCGCCAGGAGGCCGCCCGCCGCCCGTCGCCGCCGTGGCCGCCGACCGCCTCGGGGGCAGGTCGTCGGCCCAGGCGTCGTCCAGCAGGGGCGACGGCGGAGCGGGGGCTCCGCCCGCCTCCGCAGCCGCCGTTGCCGCGTCCTCCACGATCATCATGCCGTCGGCGCCGAGGCCGTGCTGGACCGCCCCAGCCGCTCCCTTCGCCCCGCCGCGGCCACGAGGCCGACGCCGCCGCCTCCGAGGGGCAGCCGCGGGCTCCGCTGGCGGCGCCGCCGCGGGCGCAGGGGAAGCGGGCTTGGCCAGCACGGCCACCGCCGAGCGCAGCAGACCTTCAGCGGCGCGGACGAGACGCGCAGCGTCCCGAAGACCCGCGCCGCTGGCGAGCCCTGCGACAGCATGCACCGCCAGTACCGCGCCACGCGCGGCTTCCAGCGGCGCCGCAGCGCGGGCGTCCGTCGTCGGCGGCATCGGCGAGGCGGCGGGACGGCGGGCCGACCCAGCGAAGCGACGCGTGAGCCAAAAACCAACTTGAGCCAAAATGGCTTGAGCCAAAATGGCTACGGAGAGAAGGGAGGAGAGGAGGGAGGAGGGAGGAGGGAGGAGGGAGGAGGGAGGAGGGAGGAGGAGCAGGAAGGCAAGAGCGTGAACCTTCGAAGAAGTCCTAAGCGAAAGCGCCGTTCCTGAAGGAAGTCTCGGGCGGGAGCCCACAACGGGCGAGCGATCCCCTGACGGGCAGGTCGGGCGGGTCCCCCGCACGAAAAGTACCCTGGCAAGGTCCTGGGAGAAGCCACCAGAGCACTCCAGGGGAGGGCCAGTTTTCGACACGGCCTCCGAGGGGGGAGCCGCAATCGACTATACCCCCCTTCCCGCCCCAAGAGGCCCCAAAAGCCCCCCAAGAGGTCCTGGGGGGCCCCCAAGACGCCGCCAAGGAGCCCCAAGAGACTCCCAAGAGGTCCCCAAGAGGCCCCCAAGAGGCCCTAAAGAGGGCTCCAGGGCCGGCGGAATGAGCGAAGCGATTAAATCAACAAGGGGGCACCTTTTGTCTCTGAACGCAATTCCTGGGGTGCCAAAATGCTTCGGCACGGACTGGTTTCACAAAGTTCTGGGAAGCGTCTCCTGGAACGCTCTGGGCGCATTTTCTACTCACACGTGGCCAATGAGAAGCGCCTAGACCGAAAGGAACAACTATATCACAGCACCCCCGACTTTGCGTCGGTCGTGGCGCGACGCGCCTGCTTGTGTCAGGAAAATTGCGGGACGGAGCGCTGCTGACTAGGCTGTGGGCCACGGGAACAACTGAACGAGGAATGAGAGACAGAGGCCCCGGCGAATCACTCTGGTCTGTTTTCTGCTGCCACATCGTCTCCCTCCTCGCCCTCCTCTAGCCTCATCCTGCTGAAGTCCCAGCTGAGGATCTCAACCACCTTGCTGGATGCCCTTGCCTGCAGCTCTGTCCCAGAGCCCCGGAGATGCAGTCGGGATGAGTCAGCGCGGCTCGCCCACGTCGAGTTCCGTGAGAGGGTCGGAAGGGTTGAGAAGATGCGGCACCCAGCGTGCAACCGAGCCGTCCTGCTGAAGCTCGTCTCGAAGAGCCGAAAGGTCGACCGCCGCCCTCCGACCGTCCTTCCTTCCTGCCGTGCACTTCGCGAGCGAGTCGAAGACCGACTTGGCGTCTCCGATCCTCACTTCTCCTGATCCACCTTGACTGGCTGGTCTGAGTCTGAGCCCTCCTTCAGCGCGCAAGCTGTCTGCCCCGCCCCTGCCCTCCTGTCTAGCGACGCCCTCTCCCCGAAAGCCGCCTCTCGAAACATGGCGGACAGCTCCGTCTCACTCACGCACTGGTGCAACGCCATGTTTTCGGCTGCAAGCGACGAGTTGGCTGCCCTCTTGAGTCGGGATGACCTCCAGGATTGAATGGAGATTCGGCCCGGCTCTCCATGGGCTGTGCATCGGTCTCCCTCGCCTGCCACTCACGTTCCTTGCGCTTACCCTGAGTCGTTTGCACCTATTCGTCCTGCGTCGCTGGCTGCGATCATGACTGCAGTTCTGAGGTCGTGATTCCAGAAGGTCAGGTGCTGAGAAGCTGTGTCCCTCAGCATCTTGGCTGCTTTGTTGGCCATGGCCATGTCTTCTAGTGTCGCCCCTGGGGGCATCCCTGCCGACATCGACGCCGCTCCCGATGCTTCTGGGCAGGTTTCTTTCCTCATCCAGTTCAGGCGATAAATGGGGAACGAAGGGGAGCGAATTCGTCTGGACGTAGCGGGGGATCGCCGTCTTTATGCCTCTGGGAGGGTGGATGGGAAAGACCTCCTCTAGGATGTATTTCTCCTGGTCCATCGGCGCTCCGTCCCTGAACCTCCTCGCCCTCCTGCATGCGAACTCAGTGTCTGCGCCCTTCCACTTCCCGAAGGTGCAGGCTGATGCGAGGCTGAACATCGGCGCCGAGGCAATCCAGAGACCGCCGACCTCTATCAGGATCTGCAAAATTAGCTGGCCATTCCTCAGAGACCAGTAGCAGCAGGGATCTAGTAGCAGCTTCTGGTACCCGGCCTGAGCCAGAGTCGAAGTTGGTGTTTGGTGCCATTATGACACCCCTCCATCCTTGCAACTGGCTTTCAGGTAGGCCGACAGGGTGCTCGTCCTTCATGGCGGCGCTTTGTGTAGTGAAAAGGAAGGCTTGTAGGACTTTGTGAAGAGGGGACTTGAGACGGCAGGGCGCATTGCAGCACAGTCGATGCATCTTGGATGTACTCTGATCCTCCTTCCCATCCTCCTCCTTCCTCCTCTCCGTCCTCCTCCTCCGTCCTCCGTCTCCTCCTCCTCCTCCTCCTCCTCCTCCTCCTCCTCCTCCTCCTCCACCTCCACCTCTTGTTCCCCACCCCACTCCCCCTGCCCCCATACAGGCCCAGGCCCCCGTCTCCTCCGCCCTGCCCGCCCGCCCGCCCCCCCCCGGCCCCGCCCGTCAGCCCCTCTCTGCCTCCCACCCTCGAAGGCCGTGGCCGCGCCTGTGAGAGCAGCGAGCACAGCGAGAGCGGGTCCACGGCCACCGCAGGCCCTGCGGGCGGCCGCTGGGCGACAGGACACGACAGAGGGACCTCCCAATCCTGGTCTGCGTCTCCCTTCGCCTCGTGCTCCACCCCCGTCCCTCTCATCCCCCACGTCCATACTGCCGTTCGTCCTTGTCCTCTTCCTCCTCCTCCTCCTCCTCCTCCTCCTCCTGTTGCTCCTCCTCCTCCTCCCCCTCCTCCTCTTCCTCATCCGCATCATCCTCATCATCCTCATCATCATCATCATCATCATCATCATCATCATCATCATCATCATCATCAGAATCATCATTATCATCATCATCATCATCACCATCATCATCACCACCACCACCAATCATCACCATCATCATCATCATCGTCATCATCATCAGCATCATCATCATCACCATCATCATCACCACCACCACCGCCAATCATCAGCATCATCATCATCAGCATCACCAACATCGTCATCATCATCAGCATCGTCATCAGCATCATCATCAACACCATCATCAACGTCATCATCAGCATCATCATCTGCATCATCACCAGCATCATCATCATACGCATCATCATCAGCATCATCATCAGCATTATCATCATCGTCACCATTAGCAACGCCATGATCAACATAATCAGCATCATCATCAGCATCGTCATCATCATCATCAATACCAGCACCAGCATCATCATCACCAGCAGCATAATCATCAGCATCATCAATGTCATCATCATCAACATCATCACCTGCCTCCTCCATATCCTCATCCCACACTTCGTCCTCCGCCCCCCCCCGCCTACTTCGGTTGCGGCGCTCGCTGACGGCAGAAAATTCCCGACTGGGGCGCACACGCAGAGCAGGTGCTTGCTAGAACCACGCGCGCGCGCTTCGCGCGCTTAGGTTCTAGCAAGCACCTGCTGTTGACAGCCCGACCACCGCGTATAGATGAGTAAGCAATCCTGTGACGCGAGGGGGGTACCTGGCTGGAACGTGGCGTGAATAGGCATGAGGAACGCGGATTGCGAGCGACCGAGCGGTCTGCTGACCGGCCGGCGGGCCGGGATCCTGACGGCGCACGGAAGCGCGCCTGGGCAGACCGAGTGAGACTAGCAACGTGTAGACAGTGAGACTAGCAACGTGTAGACAGAGCCTGGTGTGAAAATCCATGCGCCCGGCGGCTTTACTGTCGTGCTGGCGAGACAGGTTCCCGGAGCGCCGCCCCCGCAACAGGGCCACATGCCAGGAACGCAGGGGTCCGCGCCCATGGGGAGGGGGGAGAGGAGAGGGAGGGAGGGGGAGGGGGAAGAACAGGGAGGGAAGGAGGGGAGGACGGAAGGAAGGAGGGAAGGAAGAGAGGGGGAGGCAGGAAGACAGGAAGGGCACAGACCCGAACGCCCCCGAGGCGTGAGGCCCTACGCCGGCGGAGGCCGGGGCGGGGTCTGGAGCGAGGTCCGGTGGATCAAACGCACCAGAGATCGTCTGACCATCGCTTGCAAGGTCGCCCTGAGCGCCTGCCTGGGCGTGTCCGGAACCATGGGGTCCAGTCCAGCATCCGCTGGTTCAATTTTCCTTTTGCGCACGTGCTTGTCTTGAAGGCGAACTGCAACTTCCGCGATCTCTGCGTCTCGACCCAGTCACGTAATCCACGTTCACGAGCTTTCTGTTCGCATAGACGAGTGGACCTTTGGACGTTTGATATCCACCTCTCCCCATGTTTTACGGGGGTCTGGAAAATCTGTCGCAGCATTCTGCGCCGTGCTCTCGTGAGCGCCAGGCAGTGCTCCACCTTCATCGCCCAGCGCGAGCATCCATATAATGCCGCCGAAGTGACTACCGAATCAAACAGTTTCAATATCGCTGATAAAGGACATTTCCTTGAGCGTAAGGCGTGCCGAAACTTTGCAAATTGATTACGCGACCCAAATACTTCTCTGACCCTCCCGGTGGAAGAATCTCGACCTGGGAGCCACCGACGAACATGAAACCACCAGCGATGCTTTGCACATTGGTGAGAACTTTCGTCTTGTCGAAGTTGATTCGGAGCCCGTATCTGGCCGCTGCGGTCTGGAGATGGTCCAACATTTTCGCTGCGTCCTGTTTGGTCTGCGAGAACAACAAGACGTCATCGGCGAAGCGTAGATTCGACATCGGGTCCTCCTGGTCATCGATCACAAAACCAAAGTATTGCCCATCGCACCTCCGGCTGAGCCCATGCCATTTTGCCTTCAACGATCGAAAACATGATTCCACAACTGCAATGAATAGCAGAGCCCTGAGTGGATCTCCTTGTTTCACACCCCTGGCCAAGCTGAATGAGCGGGATTCAATCCCAGCGATCACAGAAGCAGTCTGATCGGTGTACAGTTTCCGAAGCAGTTCAATGTACGACCCATCGATCCCGAACTCGCGCAGAACGCCCCACGACTCCTCGTGTTCGACCGTGTCGAAGGCCTTCTCGAAGACTACGAGCACGAGCCACACTGCCTGATTCCACTCGCTGCATTTTTCGACAAGGAGGGTTAAGGCAAGCAGATGGTCTTCGGTCGAGAAGCCTGGGCGATAAGCTGCCTGGTCTTGTGTTTGCTGCGATATGATAACGCCCTGTAAGCGATTGCAAACAATTTTGGCGAAAAGCTGATACAGTATCGGCAGGATCGCAATTGGTCTGTAGTTATTCGGAATCGCAGGGTCCCCCTTTTTGGATAAGAGAATCAAACTAGTTCGTCTCCACGATTCAGGTGGCTCCTTGTCCGGCTGAAACACTGACATGAACAACGAGAGGGCATTATCCCGCAATGTATGGCCGCCGTGCTTCAGCATCTCTGCAACGATGCCAGCGGAATCCTTGCACTTCCCGTTCTTCATGGAACGAACGGCATCCGTCAACTCGAGCATCGTGAAATCCGGGGGTGCACCGCCAAAGGCAATTAACGACAAGGCGCTCTGAGGAGATCCCACAATCGTTTCAAGGGAGGCCCAGGAAAAGATCCCCAGCGCAGCCGAATCAGATCCCGAGGGCGCCCCGCAAAGGGGCCCCAGAGCGTGCCAAAGGGCGGCTCCCAGAGAGCCCCAGGGAGGCCCCAAGACGGGACACAGGAGAGATATCCCGAGATGCGTCGAGGGAGGGCCCGAAGATACTTTCACATGGTGCCTCAAGGGAGCCCCAAGCAGCGCCCTCAGAAAGGCTGTAGAGGCTCTGATCTGACAGGGTTCCAAGCGGAAGCCCAATAGTGCGTCAACAAGTGCTCAGAAACAGGCTGGACGATGCAGTGACGCAGGCGTCAGGTGCTGCACTGTCTGAGGCGCACGGTACAATAGCGCGGCCGTGCAACCATGGCTGAGGCGGTTGTTGATGGGATGTGCCAGACAGCTTATGACTCAAGGCTGTAGGTTGTTGGTGCTTCAATTCGCCAGACCCAACGAAATCGCTGGGGGCCGGACGAATGTTCTGGGGGGCGTCTGGGGACCTTTCCGATCCACCATGGGACCTTGACGAAACAACGACGCAGACGTAACACGATTGAACGCTCATGCACTCTGCAGGGGCGCAGACGACATGATGAGCGCGGTGAGAAAGCGCCTCAAGACAAGCGTCCCGCGGCCTCGGGGGGCGTCCGAGGCACCACGGCTTCAACCTTGAGCACCCCCCTCGGCCTCGCCCCTTTCGGGGATCTTCTGACCCGGGTCAATCCAGACCCGGGTCAGCCAGGCCTTGCAAAATCCTGCAAGATCCTGCAAGACCCTGCACCCAAACCCGGGTCAATGCGAAGGATCCTGCAAGATCCTGCAGGATCCTGCACCCAAACCCGGGTCAATGGGAGCCTGGCTCTGCAGGATCCTGCAAGATCTGACGCTCTGGCTGACCCCCGTTTGCATTGACCCCCGTCTCAAGGCTCCCGACCCTTGACCGCTCCCCGCGGCCGGGGGGGGCGCCTCGGGTCAGCCTGGGGAGGATGCGGAGGCGTACGGCCCGCCCTTGGCGCCCCCCTTTGACGGGGGGGCGCCTCGGGCCACCCTGGGGAGCTTCAACACAGCCGAATCAGGGAAGGCGGAGGAAAACATTCGTGGGCGCGGGGGGGGCCAGCGTCAGCTCGTCGCGGTCGCTCGTTCGTCGTCGTCTGGCCGCTCCCTCGAAAGCAGAGCACCCATCACGGCCGTCCCGCCAGTAACACCCTCCACTGTGCATCTTTCGCCGAAGGCGTCTTTTGCTCTCGGGGGGTGTGCGGGGCGGGGTGCCTGTAGATGCTCTGCGCTCCCGGGGCGGCTGCTTGAGCAGACAGCACCAGTGGGCCCCCTCTGCAGTTTGCAAGCGCCGGCGCGCCACCTGGGGATCCTCCACCCACCGAAGAGAAGGGGGTAATAACCGACGCGACCCCAACCAAGGTCGCGTCTATCCTCCTCGTACATGGGCGTCCGAAACTCGCCCCCCCATATCTCTCGCAGAAGTCTCAAAACACATCATACGAGGCCCAACCCTTCTGGATAAGCGCGAACGCCCGCCCTCGAACCTCCGTCCTAGAGGGAGGTCTGGACCGGCACCGAGGTTTGGGAGGTCGTGGAGAGAGACAGAGAGAGAGAGATTGATAAAAAAAAAAAAAAAAAAAAAAAAAAAAAAAAAAAAAAAAAAAAAAAAAAAAAAAAAAAAAAAAAAAAAAAAAAAAAAAAAAAAAAACGCAACACGCAAGAACGCGCGACTGGGAAGGGGCCGACACGCGACGGGCCACGGCCACCAAGCACGCTACGCGCACACGCCACGCACGCCATGCGAAACGCGGAAGCAACGTGCTCCAAGTGCTTGACGCTCATGACGCACACGGCGCATCACGCGCACCTGTTGAGGAGGCACTGCAAGCACACCAGCTACACAGCGGACTTCGTGGCGCCATCCTTTCTTACGTACAATGCTGGGCGTCACCGTCCTGTCACGAATGCCCCTCACTTTCCTGATGCTTCACCTCCGCCTCCTCCTCCTCCTCCTCCTCCTCCTTCTCTTCCTGCTCCTTACCATCCTTGTTGGAAACGTCGGTCACGCGCATCGGTGTCTCGAAAGCGGCCCCAGTATCCGAACTGAAAGGTCTCGAAACCTCTCTGGGAACACCGTGTAGGCAGTGAAGGCCTGTTGGGGTCTCGTTGGAGGCCTCTCGGAAGCCTCTTGGAAGCATGTTGGAAACCTCTGGGGGCCTCCGGAGGGCTCCTGGGGCATCTGGGGGGGGGGGGGGGCGCTCCATGGCGTCCCCACGCCCGTTGCGGCGCCTCAACACGCGAATCGCGCTTCACAAGGACGTACACCGACGGCCTGAATGGGCGCGCTCGCGGGGGCCACCCCCTTCACGCGGATCGCGCCCCACAGGGAGGTCAGCGTGCCTATTCGCGCTAGCTCCGAAGCAGCTCCCTATCCGGTCTGCCCCGCGGCGCGCACTTGCTTCTCTTGGAAGCCTCTTTGGGGGTCTCCTGGGGGTCTCATGGGGGCTTCCTGGGGGCCTCTGGAGGCCTCTTGGAAGCCTCTTGGGGGCCCCTGGGGCCCTCTTGGCGCCTCTCGCGGGTGTCTTGAAGGGCCTCCTAGGGCCTCTTGGGGGCTTCTTGGGGGCCCCTTGGGGGCCTCGGGGGTCCTCTTGGGGCTGGGGGCTCGAAATGTCAATTCGATTTCCCCATGTGGCGCTCCTCTTGGGGCCCTTTTGGAGCCCGTTCAGGCCGTCGTGGGTGCCTCTTGGACCGTCTTGGGACCTCCTTGGGCCAGCTTGGCGCCCTCTGGGGGGTCTCTTGGGCCGCCTCGAGGCGATCTGAGAGGCCCCTGAGGTCGTCAAGGACGGTACGATGACCAAAAAAAACGAATAGGCTAAACACGTGCGTTTTATCGCAGGGAATGGGGCTATGTTTGCCTCTCGGGGCGTTCTTGGGGGACAAATTTGAAGGGTCTTGAAATGTCTAGGAAGCCTCTGGGGCCTTTGGAAACGGCTCCTGAGCCGTCGGAGACCCCTGGAGGCCGTCTTGAGAGTGGTTCGCGGTTGTCTTGGACCGCCGTGACGCCCGTCGCACCGCTCCCCGGGGCGATTTCGGGCCCCCCGAAAGCGGGCCCGGCCCCCTGCACCCACATTTGTGGTCGGGGCTGCAGCCCCGGGTCCCCCCAGACCGGTCCCCCGTTACATGTATACTAGAACCACGCGCGCGCTTCGCGCGCGCTTAGGTTCTAGCTAGGAGGCGAGCTTGAGTCAACGAAAGTCGCAGGGAAGGGGGCAGGGGGAAGAAGGCCTGAGAGCGCTGAAGGATCTTGGACGGCGTCCGGCGGTCCGACGAGCATCCGGGCCCCCCGGAGCCCACATTTGTGGTCGGGGTCCCGGCCCCGGGCCCCCGGACCCGGTGCGCCGTTACATGTATATTTATGTGTTGCTCACGTTCTCACCACGTCGGGTTCCCGTCAGCTCAAGATGGCCTAAGAGATGTCCAGGCTGATCCCGAGTCGGCGCGAGAGGGCCTCTAGCCAGACACACTCAAGGCAGCCCAAGGAGGCCTCAAGACGTAAGACGACCCCGCAGAGAGCCCGAAGACGGCCCAGATGAGACTTCACGGCGGATTCTGGAGGCGCTAGGCCGCCCAAAGGCGCCGTAAGACGGACCCAGGAACCACCAAGAGGCCCTTAAGATGCCACCAAGAGGGCCCCAAGAGGGGCCTCCAAGGCACACATAAGAGGCCCCAGCAGAGGGGGGACGAAGAGGAAGGGAGGTAGGCGACGACGAACGCCAGGAGAGGCACCCCGACACGGAGCGGAAGGGCGTCTCGCATGTTACGGTTCTTCCCCCCGAATGCGGGCATGAGGTGTCACAGGTCACGGCTTCCTGTGTGCTCCTCGAACAGTCGCCACCCAAAATGCTGGGCTGGCACGGTGTCGGGACTCGCCGCAAGCAGCTGGATGATCCCTCCAGGACATGCCCCATCCCTCCTCTCGAGATCCCCACCGCTCATCCTGCCCCACTCCGCCCAGACCCTGCCTGCAACCCTCCCCGCCCCATCCCTCCGGCCCGCCTTCCCCCTCCGTGCCCCCGCCACCCCCGGCGAGGTGCCCCCCCCCCGCACACCGCCCCCGGGGGGCCGTCCGAACACTAAGAGCGGTGCCTGAGCCCTCTGGCTCTTCCTTGACCTGGGGTCGCGAGGGCGCCGCGTCGCTCCCACGACCCGAGTGCAAGCGCCAGGCGCGCACGCCCGCACTGCATGGGAGCGTCCTGCCCCTGAGGGGGAGAAGGAGAGAGAGGATGGGGGGGAGGATGTGCGGGTGTGAGGATGGCACGCATCAGCCTTGCTCTGTCACGGCGATGGGGAGTATGAGAAGAGACAACGTCGAAGATGAGATACTGATGATGCCGGAATGTGGGGGCCATGCTGCACACGCAGAGCTTCCTTCGCCTGAGTACCGCCCAGATGGCACCACGTAGCTTGCACAACACGGATGGCACCACATCGATTGCACGACGAAGATTGCAGCAAGTCCGCCGACCCTGTCGGCGTGTGTGAAAGGCGTTTCCGATTGATTCGTCCTCGTCGCCCCCCCCCTTGCCGTGGGTAAAACAGGGCTAGGATCGGGATAAATCGCTCCAGAGCGTTCCAGAGCGCTCTCAGAGCGTTCCGGAACGCTCTGGAGCGGCCGCGGCGCCCAATACATCCTCCCAACCCGCCGATTCTCAGAGATTTCGAGTTATCCCGATCCGATTTTGTCCCGATCTTCGCGTCGTTTTACCCTTGCCGTGGGCCCTCAGGCACTCTCCTCCGGAGCCGTTCCGGCTCAAGCCCGTCTTTAGGGGGGGAACAAACCTACCTCGCTTTTGACCACCCTCGCTTCCAAGAGATACCAAACGATGCCAGCTTGCAGCCTGTACTGGTCAGGCCGCTTGACGAGGAGGCGAGTGGTATGGCTCGGTTTTGCCTGGAAGCGAAAGCGGGGTAGGTAATTCACGATCTGTTGAAAGGCGTTTCCGATTGATTCGTCGTCGTCGCCCCCCCCCCCTTGCCGTGGGCCCTCAGGCACTCTCCTCCGCAGCCGTTCCGGCTCAAGCCCTTCTTGTCCCGTGAAAGGCGTTTCCGATTGATTCGTCGTCGTCGCCCCCCCCTTTGCCGTGGGCCCTCAGGCACTCCTCCGCAGCCGTTCCGGCTCAAGCCCGTCTCTGAAAGGCGTTTCCGATTGATTCGTCGTCGTCGCCCTCCCCCTTGCCGTGGGCCCTCAGGCACTCTCCTCCGCAGCCGCTCCGGCTCAAGCCCGTCTTTGAAGGGGCCCCAGGACACACAAATAAATACACACAAATAAAGAGATCCCCCCATATTTTCGTACATTTTTGACTCGGAGAGTTCCCCCGTCCGACTCGGAGACCAGGGTCAGGGGCTTACAGTGCTCGCTGGTTCTCGCGTGCAGGAGTCGGGCGGCGGCAGGCGCCACCACCAGGTGGCCGTAGGCACAGCCTGCCGTGGACTTAGATCCTTTTCGGTTATCTTTGAGGCTTCTGCCTTCCCCCCCACTTCCCATATTTCCCCATACTTTCTGGGGAGTCGACGATTATAATTGTGTCTGTGCTTCTTTCCCCCCCTGAGATCGAAGACCTCGCGGAGCAGCCGCACTTGCGCGAGGACGAGACCTCGAGGGCGAGACCTCCCGCCGCGAGGCGACCGCCCGACCGGCTCCGCGGCTGCGCGGCGGCGCAGCCGCGCGGCCGGCAGGCGGCCAGCGCCTCCGGGCGCACACGCCGCCTGGCGTGCTGCGCGGCGCCCGCCGGCCGAGCCGCCGCTTGGCCGCCTGGCGGCCGGCGCAGAGCGGGCCGCGGCTCGACGCGCTGGGGGTACCGGCGGAAAGGGAGGAGGAGGAGGAGGAGGAGGAGGAGGAGGAGGAGGAGGAGGAGGAGGAAGAAGCCCAGCGGGGGCGACGCCGGTGGCGCTGCGGGCTGACGCGCCGCCCGGGCCTCACGGCCGGGTGGCGCCCGGGTGCCGGCTCGCGGAGTCCAGCACGCGGCCTTGCGCCGTCGAGTGCGGTGTGCAGGTGGCCAGGCCAGTGGCGGCTTTGGAGCAGGACACGGCTATCCCAATCGAGCGGCATCTGTCGAGAGACACTCGTGATGCCCATGGTGGCGAGGCTTCGGTCGACGGCATTCGTGGTGACGAAGGGCGTCGCGATCCAGGGCCGCTCGATGACGCAGAGCCTCGCGATGGATGGCCACCTGAAATGCCTCGTGCTGCCGAAGGTGCACATGATCGGGAGCCTCTTGGTGAAGAGCGACGTCGTAAACATCTTCACAATATGAATCCCGATTTTGAAGGGCCTTGTGGAAATAGTCGTGATGTTGAAAGGTCTCATGATGGGCGTGCTGCTGGAAGGCCATATGCTGGCGGTCGCGAAAACGAGGGCGACTACGTCCTTGAGCAGTCCATCCTCGAATCCGAATATGTTCGTATGTCGGGCCCTCCAGTGCAAGATGGTGGACTGCGGGACGGGAAAATGACCACAGCAACTGCTTCTTGTTTGCGCCGCCTTCCAGCCGGCCGAAAAAGAAGCAGTGGTTGTGGTCATTTCCCTGGTGCCATGCTCAACGAAAATGACCACAACCACTGCTTTGTTGCTGCGGGCTGGAAGGCGGCAGCAAAAGGAAAGCAGTGGCTGTGGTCGTTTTCACGCCCCGTATGGACTGCCCGTTCCAGGCTCGAAGGTCCCGCCGCTCCTGCTGCCGGTCTCGAGCTCGCTCGCACGTCTCCTGAACCGTGTCGGGAACCCCTTTCGGAAAGATCACGAAGATCTGAGGGATGAAAAAACGACCCTACCCTGGGTTACAAGTGCGCGGTCTGTAAACCTCCTGGGAACCCCCAAAAGCCTACAGTCGCCAGGACGCGGCACATCACGCAGGGTTTACCCTGTCAGCCCACAGGAGTTTCAGCGCACAGCGCCCCGTAAACCAGGGTAGGGGCGTTTTTCCTGCCCTTGAAGATCATGCTGCTAAACCTGTTCCTTTTCGATTGCCCGCCAGTAGCCATCGTCCTCCTGATTACAACGTTGTTGATCTGGATCGACGCCTGGGTCAAACGGCAACCTGAGTTGCCTCGTGGTTGTCACCCCAGCAGCCCGCCCGAATGTTGTCTGCACATGTGTAGGACCACAAAGGGGTGGGTGGTACAGGAGGGATGTTGTGTGCATGAGAATTCGTCTCACGACTCCTTGCATTGATTCTTGGTTGCAGTTCGTGCATGATGTGCAGCTCGCTTTGCTCACGTTCTGTGAACGCAATGTGAAGCCGCGTGCAATGTATCTCGACCGCGGTTTTGTGTTGAATGCGAGCCTGCGTGTTACATGCTCGAAGTATATCATTTGACGGTGGTTCGTGCTACCTTGAGACTTGCAAAGCAGCGCGCGCTGCATTAAGCTTGGTTGTTTTGCTCTTGCGTTGAGTTGCCCCCTCGATGCGTGGGCTTCCCGCTCGGTCGTTGTCCCTCCGCCGCGCGGTTCCATGGGCCCTCGCTTTCCTTCGTTCTCGGGCCCCCTCGTTCGGTCCTCGCCCGCCGCCGCGTGTGTAATAGGAAGGCACCAACTATACACCAACACCGATCCCGGCCAGGACCCTCCCAGGATCGGTGTGGTTGCGCAAGAAGGCATATAGATCCTGGTGCCCTCGGTGTTGGTGTATAGTTGGTGCCCTCCGATGTAAGGGAGCTAGCACTTGTCTCTAGACCACGGCCAAACAAAACCTCAAGCGTTCCAGCCAGGCAGGAAGTCGAGCAACGTCGCAATCGAGTCGAAGTGAAGCCCCTTCCCTTTGATATCTTCCCCGCCACGAGGGGGTCACGGGGGGATGGCGCCCGATCACAACCGGAAGGGGCCGATCACTACTAGTAGCCACCGATCGCAACCAATTGTGATCGACCCCTTCCAGCTGCGAAACAGTGGGCGTCGCTAACACATAGTATAGTATCATACGGGCTGCCTTTAAAGAGTTCGCTTGATTCTACCAAACTGGTTGCGACCTGGTCATGGTGCAACGATTTGGAGCAAACCTCTTCAGACGAATGAGATACGATTAGCAAGAACTACGTACACATCTGACCATGAATTCAGTAATGGGACTGATGATACGCAGACAAATCGTGGCAAAGTCTGAATGGCAATTAGGTAACTGTGGGAAGTACCAATAGGCCTCCAAGAGGCCCCCAGATGACCCCGAGACTTCCCGAGAGACCCTGAGGGGCATCCAAGAAGCATCTGGTCCATGGAGGCCCCCCGAACTCTCCAACGAGATGCCGCGCTGCCCCAATGAAGGCAGCTCCACTGGGCATCGTTCCTGGGTGGGCTGGTGGGGGTATTTTTTGTTCGCAACCGCTGGCGGACAGTCGGGGGGAGCTGCGCGAGTGTTCGCAGGGTGTGCGACGCCTCTTGGGCCTGGTGGAAGAGGCCAGAGTCTAGCGTGGATCTGTACGCCTGCAGAGCCAACCACGGCCGAGTAGAGCCGCAACGCGGCATGTCCAGGGAGCCAGGCGTCGGGCCTCGGGTTGCGCGTCTGCGCGCCGCCTACTTGTGCCCCGCTTCTGTCCCTCACCGTGACTTCCAGGATGGGACGTGGGATGGGTGCATCGGCGATGGCCTGGCCCAGGTACTCTCCACCCATCTGTTCCCTCAGCCACGCCCAGTCGTCGTCACTCAGCTCTACAGTCGGGGCGTTGACCTAGGGAACCCTAGATAAGGAACGAGGCCCCTTTTTTCCATAAGTTATAAACTTCGATTCCCCTTCGAAAACCTAAGGAACATCCAAGGCAAACTGCGAAACAATCAAGGAACACGGAGCCCCTCCCCAACGAAAAGGGTTCCTTCTTCAGGGCCCCGACTGTACACCGCGTGGGGGAGGGGTCTGGCGTCTCGCCTGTTGGTGGGTCCTGGGGGGTCGCGTGGGCGGCGCGTTGAAGGATTGACGGGCCAGCGTCGACGGGGACCGCCGGCCGAGACCGAGATCTGCGGGGCACTCGAAGACTTAACGGGCGAAGAACGGTTTTACATAAACTTTTTCGCCGTCGGGGGCGCCTGCCCCTGGGCGGCTGGAAAGTTTATACCCCTACGGTGCCACCGGAAGTTTATATAACTTTCCAGCCGCCCTGGGGCAGGCGCCCCCGACGGCGAAAAGTTTATTTTATACCGTTCTTCGCCCGTGAAAAGACACGCGTCCGCATCCGCGTGCAAGCTTCCAGAGCCCACTCATTCGGTGCTGAGCACAGCTGAGCAAGGGCGACAACGGTGGCGCGGAGGCGGGGTTCGGACCCCGAGTCCCCGCCGCCGCGTCGGTGGTTGCTGAACCAGGCATCGTCGGAATTGCTGGCCACCTGCCTCCAGGCGCCGAGGAGCTCGGCAACGAGCCAGGAGGGTGTGAAGTCTACCGCGCAGGGGGTGCGCGGAGCATGCATGTGTTCTGCGATGGGGGCGCGCCGCGCCCATGCCCTGGCCAGCTGGAAAGAGAGTTCCTGCCCCGGCGCTTTCAGCGGGTGGCTGGGTTGTTCGAGAGGGGCTGAGAATGAATTCCAGCACAGGTCTCTCCCCAGAATGCCCCATGGTCGGGCGAGACGCCGACGCGCTACGCAGCCAGGGATCAAGCCGAGCGGCTCTCTTGGCAGCCATGTCCCGCAGTAGCGGCACCGACTGGTAGGGCAGAAGAAGTTGCCAAACATCAGCCTATAGGCGACCGGGCTCCAGGGCCAGGGGCTGTCTGAGCTGCCCCCCCCCCTCCACCGCCTCTCCCGGGATGCCGGCCCCGCTGGAGCGGGCGTCTGGGATGGCGTGCTGGGCGGAGAAGACGTCGCCTCCACTGCAGGAGTGGCACCCTCGTTCTGCCGCCCAGCGCCTCGCGTCACTGTGATCGGGGAAGTGCGCCATGTTGTTTCTGTGTTCATGCATGATGACTCGGTAGGCTCTGGTCTTGATTCCGTCATCTAGTAGGTCAACTGTACCGCGCGGACTTCCGGGCCCAGACATCGCGCCAGGGACGTCGTCGCTGGCCCACCTGGCTGGGGCGAGGAAGGTGCTCGGCATGGCGTTGACCGTGCTGGCCATCCCTATGTCGGCGCAATGCACCGCCGCGCTCATGGCCTCGCACTCCACGCGTGCCAGGGCGAGCTCAACCGGGCTGGCGTTGTCACAGTCGAGCCTGTCGGCATCTATAAGGGGGTCGTGGGTGACGCTGGCGACGCGGAGAGCCAGGATCTGGACCGGGTCGGGTCGCGCCCCTCCGAGCCCACCCTCCAAAGCGGCCCCTGGGACTGACCGGGCCAGCCGCGCCAAGTCGAGGTGGGCCAGCGCGATAGCGTTGGCCAGACGCGTGGCGTAGCGCGGCTCATCGTTGGGCCCGTAGGAAGGGGATTCGAGTTGGCGGCGCGCAGAGGGGGGGTAGGGGGAGGGGGGAAGGCTTCTTAGAAGGAGGCTGCTTCTTAGAAGGCGCCGGCCTTACATTTGTAGACAAGGCCCGCGCCTTCTAAGAAGCAGGGGTGCTTCTAAGAAGCCTTCCCCCCTCCCCATACCCCCCTGTACGCGCCGCCAATCGAGGGCGCTGGCGGGGTCCGGCTCGGCTCGCAGCGGCGGCGCGCCGCGCGGGCCCCCGGCGCCCCGGGCGGCGCCGCGCCCGGCAGTGATGGACCAGCATCTCCAGCCCCCTGCGTCGCTCAGCTGTCAGGGGGAAGCCCCTATCTTCGAGCTCTCGCCAGGGCCCAGCTACCTGACTACCTACCAGACCACCCCAACCCAACCCGAAGACCCGAATTTCGGGTTGGGGGGGGGGTAAGGGCTCCACATGTGTTTTTTCGATGTTTACCGTTTTTTCGATGTTGTGTTTTTTCGATGTTTCCCGACCCCCCCCCCCACTGGAAATCGAGGGTAAATCTGAGCCTTCGGGTTGGGTTGGGGTGGTTTGGTGGGCGGTGACTGTCGGGGGGAAGCCCCTACCTTCGAGCTCTCGCCAGGGCCCAGCAACCTGCGTGCACCCGCGGAGGAGTGCCCTCCGCGCGCCCCCTCTCCCAGTGGCCCTGGAGCCGGCGACCCTCGGGCCGCAGCTCGGACCGCCGCTTTCGCGGCTCTGCCGCCGGGGGGCGTCGGTCCGGCCTGCAGCGCCCAGCCAGCGCGCGCGCGTGTCGACGCTGAGCTGGGCCAGTCTGCTAGTCCTACTTAGTCATCCCTCGGCTGAGGGGGCCCTGGAACACACAAATAGATACACAGAGCACTCGGTCGAGGCGGACCCGGCTCGCGCCGCCGCCCCTCGCCCGAAGGGCTGCGCGCTGCGGCCTCGCAGCTACTGGCCGCCGTCAGGAGGGTCTGGCCTGGGGCCAGCGGGTAGGGCAGTGATGAGAGCGCCGACTGGGTAGTCGAAGCCAATCTGGCGCCAATCTGGCCGGCCCAAATCTGGCAAACGGGGGCAATCTGGCGAGGGAGCCAACGCGAATCCAGTCTGGCGAATCACCCAAATCGTCCAGCTTGGCCAGGCCAGATTGGCCCTTGGGGCCCAATCCAATTTGACAGTCTGGCCTTCGACTACCCAGCCTGGGGTCAGCGGGTAGGGCACGTGCTGAGAGCGCTGATAGCCCTGGAGTCACAGCCACTTCCCTGCTGCGGAGCCAGGGCGCGGAGGGGCGCTGCTCTGCCCGCCCCCCTCTCGTCGGAAGCTTCGCGGCTGTCGAGCGGAGTCCTTGCGCGGCCAGCGCCTGCACTTCCCGTTGAGCTGT